ATGTGTTTGTCTGCTCTGCGTCTGCTCTGAAATGGGCAGATTTTAATAGCAAGCAAGGTTTTCTTTTCTCAGCAACAAAACCTTATGTTCAGAGTTGAACAACAGAGGGCGACAGAGAGCAACACAAACTGTAGAGCGGTGTCTCTGTATTTTTGTGTTTCATATCTTTGCTTATATTGGTAAATGGGGCGGTGTTAATAGGATTTACGAAGGGGTCACATGTTTAAAATAAAGAAACCAGTATGTTTGTGGCCATAGCTTCTGGCAAAAATGTTCTTTATAAAATAAAATACAATACAGCTTTGATTTCATTCATGAGAGATTTGCATCAGATTAAATCCCAGTACGTCATTCACAACTGTTTAAATGTCGGATATCAGTCTTTGCTAGACCATCTATTTATAATGTTACGGAATAAATATATATTCTTAGTGGTTATTTTCTGTTTATATTGTTTTATAGAGGCCAGTGTAGAAAAACGCCACTTTGAGTTGTAACAACTGCAGAGAGGTAAATGCAAACACGCTTACACACATAAGTAATAATTAGACTAATCCTATAGATCAGCGAGCCCCGAACATGATATTCGGAACCAACTTTGAATAACTAAAAGAACAATGGATGAACATATTAGATTATTGAGGCGTCGCAGAGAGGTGTTTTCCTTTTCTGTCCTTTACAGAAGAAGGAGCAGATTCCAGAACCACCGCAAAACCACGAAGGGTTGGCGAGAATCCAGGAAGCACCAGACGAACGGATCTGGCCAAGAAAGGGGGACCCAAAAGAAGCTAGCGTCTGCAGCTCTCTTTTTCCGGTGTTGTGCCAAAAAGTGATTGTCTGCCAAAATCTGATTTCCGGTATTTGCCAAAAACTGATTGCTTGTATTTAAACTGCTATAAATAACTTGTTGGTGTATAATATGTGAAACATATGGCAAATGTATCCCTCATGAATGATATCACGTCATCTTGAGCAACAAACAACATTCCTGTAACAAGGTAGAAGCTGCAATCAGTGTTTGGCAGTGAGTTTTATGTATCCTTTATGTATGCAGTTAAAAAAATATTGTTGACTTTAAAAATGTGTCTTTTAAGAGTAATCTGGCCTTGAGGACAGCTGAAATTGCAACAAATGCGAAAATAGTTCTGTAAATATATTTGTGGACAAATATAGCTGATTGACTATAATGTAAGTGCAATAACCCAGTCACAAAAATAATTGAGAAACAGGTAATTTTTGAATTTTATATATAACCACTTTGTAATACTTGTTCACCAAAGTCTATTTAGCAACATGCGTAACGATATTACACATAAAAAAAACACGCAAACATTGGAAATCACTTTTTGGCACAACACCGGAAATGTAGAATACAGATTATTTTTGAGCTTTGACCACACTGAGTCGGGTTTTTTCTCGGTCAGTAAAAGAATATAAAAGAACCGGATTTGATAATAACCAGAAGGAAAGATATCTCTTTGTTATCAGTAGATAATAATGCAGTGAGAAAATAAATTCCAAATAATTTATGCTTACAAGTAGAATTTGTATCATGTGCGACACTCAGTGTGTCCGACTTCACTTCAAGCTTTGGTGATCGCTTTATTTCTGCCAGTTATAGAAAGCAAGTATGTCAGCTTTGGGACTCAGATAATAATAATGATCCATGTCTTAGTTTTTTCTGATAACAGATAGATAAATATAATAATAAAATATAAACACAATAATAAAAATAACCAGAACACAACTTTAAAATGCTTTTCATTATTTTTAAGGGCTTTTTTCATAGTTGCACAATTTGAGCGTGTTTATGTGTTTTGTAATAAAACACCACAGCATTACCAGCACTGAGATTTCAACCAAGCTTTACTGAAGCATGACGCTGATACTATTGCAACTGTTTCCAATTGGCAGCAGTAAATAAATCCATTTGTTTTTTTCTAAATATCTATCTATATATATATAGATTTCTTGGTCTCAAATGAAATTAGCCAAATACACAACAATTCCTGTAACAGCCCCTCCAACAATACCCACGACTGCGGTGGCGACCCAAGACAGACCTGCCATACCTGCAGAGAGAAAACAGGCTTCAGAACACCAGACAGCTGATCGAGCAGTTAGATGAAGTAACTGAGCTGCAGAGAAGACAGAGAGGCTTTATCCCACGACGGAGTATTAGAGCCACAAGAGAAATGTTGTTGATATGGACATTACTGTTTGAACACAAACTGCCACATGCGCTATATCTGCTAAAGAAAAATTATTTCGATGAGTTAGTGAAAAAAATTGATCAGCCGTCATGTGATACAACATTCATCATCTTTGTTGCACGAGGATGTAACCATCGATAACCTCGCATCTGTCCATTACCAGCCGTGGCTTTTTGTACAGCCTAATACTTATCATCACACTGTGTTCATGAGCTTAAAGAAAAATCATTTCTTTCATTCTTACTAAAAAAAGATTCTGAAGCACAATTTCACAAACTCAGATGATATACAGTAGCAACCGTGGCAGCTTTTCTTCAGACAACTGTAATCTCCACATTTCGACTATATTTTCAAAATGATCGATAATATTTTTCTTAAATAAATGGCCCTAAAACTCTTTCGTATTACCCTCACTGCAGCACGGTCACATGTTATTGTTTGGTGGCTCTTTAAGGTTTACAATAATAAAGATTTTTGAGTAATGGGAAACTTTTTTTTTTTACCTGCTGACTGTAAAAGAGAAAACAGACTTCCTGCTGCCACTCCTCCTCCATTGGCTATAGCATCTGCAGACATCCAGAATGCAGCGTAGGAACCTGCTGCTATTCCAGCTGGGTTGAAACCTACAGCCCCCAGGACAATAGGAGCAAGGACCACTGCTACACCTGACAACAGGAAGCTGGTTACTGACCAGGATGCTTCAAAGTGAATACATGTATGATACGTGTGACTTCACCTATGAGTGTTAGATATAAAAATACATAAATATTTATATATTATCAAGGGCGTAGATTTGGTTGTGGCATTGGTGGGGACGGATAATTCAACCACCGAACCCAGACGTTAATACTACTGGTGTCCCACACAACAACTCAATGTCCACTATGTGAAGGAGCCAAACACATGCCTTCTCCTCTCGTTAACTGAGATAAACTGTTGGCATATTTGTTGTACATCTATACTATCCAGTCTCTCCTGGCGGACATGACATACAGCAGCATTGTTTAATCTCATTTGAGTCATTGTTGACCTTAGCCATGTTTTTAGTCTTCTGAGGGCACTGAAGCTTCTTTCAGCCTCAGCCGATGATACTGGGATGACTACAAGCAGCCTGACAAGGCTTTCAACTTGATCAAACAGACCCCTCACCTCCACCGGCATTCCCCTAATGATAGTAGACACTTCTGTACTAGATGTAAAGGTATATTTGGATCTGAACATGGCTAGCTGAACCTTTAGACTCTGTCTGTTAATTTCTGGGTAACGATCAATAATGCCATCCACCTCTCCAGTGAACAGAATTTCCTCCAGTTTCTGCAAGACACCTAGATCTGGCTGGTTGAACCTCTCCTGAAACTGAACATCAACACTATCCAGCACTTTGTAAAACTCTGCTCTGTAATGCTCTTCAGGTGACTTGGGAGTGTGCTGGCTAGCCCCGCCAGCATATCGTTTTGGTGGCCGTCTCTGGTGAGGAATCTGAATGGGCTCAATACCAAGGGAGTTCACCATTTTCGCTGCTTTGTCAAACATCTGATGTAATCTTTCTTCATTTCTTTTCAACTGTAGAGTGGATCTGACACACTCTATTGAGCATCTCATTCCTGCAATGGTTGCAGTCAGTTTTTGCAGGGACTTGTTCAGACATTCTAGCTCCTCAATAACTTCCAATGCCATAAGAAGTCCAAGCACTGTTCTGCCCTTTTCAAACCTCTCATGCAATCCATTTGCCCTAGCACTTGTGCTAGATCCAGCTGCTGCCATCTCCTCTAAACTAGTCAAAATACTGTCATACTGAGACAGCACTGCTTTGATAGCAGTTCCCCTTACAGTCCACCTGGTTGGGCAGAGAGGTCTGAGTGATACTGATGGTCCCTCTGAATCTGCTGCAACTGCTGAAAACATAGCTTTGAAACTTCCAGACTGTTTGCATAATGACCCCAGATCATGTACCCACTCTAAAGCATCACGTATTACAGAACTAGCCTGACATGCAGCCTGTGTAATTAAGTTCAGGCAGTGAGGCCCACAATGCACGTACAATGCCAGTGGCTGTTGTTTCTTCACTTCTGCCTGAGCACCTGAATAAGCTCCTGACATGTTCGCAGCACCATCATAGGTCTGACCTCTTAAACATGACATCGGCAAATTCAGCCTTAAAAGCACATCCACAGCTGTTCTAGCTATCTCCACTCCAGTAGTTCCTGAAACCTCATATAAGCCTACAAAAACCTCATGTGGAACCAGGTCCTCATCCACATATCTAAAACATATAGACTCTTGCTCTCTTCCTGTGATATCTTGAGTACCATCTATGATGATAGAGAACTGCAGGACAGTTAGAGACTGGATAGTTTGTGCAATATTTCTGACAATGCAGTTTCCAAACAACTGCAAAATCTCATTTTGCACTGGTGGAGCGGTATAGTCATGACAACGGGTCAGCCAGTCAGAAAGACAGACATCATCTTTGGCTTTATATTTTAAGTGTTGAAAGAGGTTACCATCTTCCTTGCCATGTCCTCGCAGTGCCAAACCCTGTCTGATAAGAAACTGCATTGCACCCACAATGCTTTGTAAGCAGTGTCTGGCATTTTGCTGTTGTTTTGAACGGGCAGTTGATAGTTGTGAATTTATTGGAGCTGCTTCTTGAGCGCTAGCTGTGACTGCATGGTGATGGGATTGAGAATTTTGATGCCTTTCAAATCTTTCAACAGCATTCTTCCAGTTAATAAACCCCTTTGATGAGAATGCAGGGTCTGCCTTTTTTGACATAATACTTTTCTGAACAGTATATGTTTTCACACAGTAAAAACAAAGAATTCCCTTCACTGCATGGCTATAATGAAGCCATGGATACTCTTTGTACCACCTCTCTTGAAAATGGATGACCCTACTGGACAATGTTTGAACTGGGATGCATTTAGGGTTTGGCTGGTTTGGCTTATTGTCCAAAATATCTTTACTTGTACTCTTCATTGTTGTGACCTTCACTGCCGCTCTCCCTGTCGCTTGCTACAGGTGTACTGGTTTACTTAGAAATAGACCACATCATACAATTACCTATACTGTAACACTGGTCATATGACAATACATAGCTTATGTAACTTCATGAGAACAGAGAACCACTTATTGTAGATAGATTACAGTGGATATAAAAAGTCGACACACACATGTTCAAATGCCAGTTTTTTGTCATTTAAAAAAATGACAGCAAGTCAAATAATTTCACAACTTTCGCCACCTTTAATGTGGCCTATAAGGAGGAACTTGATTTTTCAGCACAGCAATTACCCAAAGCACACATCCAGAACAACAACAGAATGGCTTCACCAGAATAAAACTGAGGTTTTGGAAGAGACCAGAAAGAGTCCAGACCTGAATCCCATCCGACATCTGTCGGGTGATCTGAAGAGGGCTGTGCACAGGAGATGTCCTCGCAATCTGTCCGATTTGGAGGTTTTTTTGCAAAGAAGAGTGAGCAAATATTGCCACATCAAGATGTGCCATGCTGATAGGTTGCTACCCAAAAAGACTGATTAGTGTGATAAAAGGCAAAGGTGCCGCAAAAAAGTATTAGTTTAAGGGTGTGCATATTTGTGCAACCAGGTTATTTTAACTTTTTTATTTTATTGTTCCCCCCTTTAAAGGTTTCTGTTTGTTTTTCAGGTGCATTGTCACATAAAGGTGGAAGAAGTTTTGGAACTATTTGACTTGCTGTCATTTTTTTACATGACAAAAACCTGGCATTTGAACATGGGTGTGTAGATTTTTTTTTTATAGCAACTGTACATGTGTTTTATCCTCAGATTAAAATTATTATTATGTGCTTGATGTGCCTCACCTTTGGCCCTGGCTCTTCCCCTCTGACTGTACTAGGACATATTACCATCTGATAAAAATAACACATGGATTCATGCCATATAAAAAGTGAGACATGTCAATTCAGATTCTTTGTCAAATATACACTGATGAATCAATTTACATCAGCAGCCTAACAACTGTCATGACAATACTAGTTAATCTATAGCACCAAATCATCAGTCAGTCACCTGTGACCTCACCTCTTCACTTCTGTCCGAGCTACAACATGGCAGAGCTGCCTCTGTCACCTGATAAATAACAGTGAGACATTCCAAATACATGCAGTCACACATGTGCTTCAAATACAGTCATGAACCAACAGGTCATCATCCAATTCCACCTGTGATCTTGCATCACCATTGCTCTCTGAGCTCTGTGTTGGTTCTTCTGTCACCTGACAAATAGGACATACATGACAATAAGAATAAAATGTGTAGCTGCTTCAGTGTTTCTGTCAATTTGTGCAGATCTTGACTCATCAGTAATGTTTGTAGGGTGAGAGCAATTTTTTTTTTAAAAATGTGCAAACTGCACTACAAGGTGAAATATTTGCAAAATCATGACTACCTCATGATATTTTGTCTCAAAAATTAACCCTATGAATATGTCAGTACCATTAGGATGAAATTATTGTGTCGCCAACATTTAACGTTAGACATATAATTTTAACAGTCTCTGTAAACTAATATCCTGGCCTGCTCGAGGCTGCCGTTTTCTCTGACAGTTTCATTCAAAATTATAAATGCTACTGTGGGAGACTGAGATAACTAATAGTGCTGCCTGTTGTGCAGTTAGTTTATAAAACACGTTATTCATGGTTACATACAGTTTTAGACTGATGTGGGCCAAAGCCTAGCATAGCCTGTAACGTTATTGTGATGGACACATTTTATGAGTGAACTTGACTTTAAGTGACTTACAGGTTTCTTTGAAAAATACTTTCTTATATCGAGGTTCTTCCTTTTTGCTGCCGTCCTCCTCTCCTCCTGGCAGCGCAGGCTTGCCGCTGCTAGAACTAAACAGAGCTCCCTGAAAGGCACAGCCAATCACATTGGCCATATTTGTCACATGAGGTAGAGAACGTAATTTAACTCTTTCTGCACCGCTGGGTGAATGAGACGTTGACAGATCGTTTTTTTCTTTCTATCGGGTTTGTTTGTTTTTTTAACTCGAAGAGATCAAATTATTGGTGGGGACAATTCAATAATCGCTGGATATTGGTGGGGACGTGTCCCTTCCGTCCATGCCAAATCTACGCCCTTGTAATATTATATATTTTTACCTGCCCCGACTGCGATCGCTACAACTGAAACACAAGAAAGAAAATAAAACAAAACTTACCACAGCTCAACTGAAAATATTTAGACATTTTCTGTGACGGTAGAATCATGAGCTTATATTATGTAGAGATGATTTGAAAAAGGCAGCTGTACTCACACAGACTCATTATTCCACTCAGGATGAGGAGCTTAAAACTGAACTGTGTCTTAAACAGAAGGATGAGGATCAGCTGTTATTTCTTGGAAAATGAAACTGAATGGGCGTCACTGTGTCTGTGAAGTAAATAAACTTCCTTTAGTCGTCATAGAAAAAGTGATTGTGAGGTTGGATCTCAGAGGGTTTGACATATTTACTTATTTTATGTTTTTTTTTTTTGTTTGTTTGTTTGTTTGTTTTTTAACTTGTTATGTATTTCACACACACGGGTTATTTCAAGGATTTTTCTTTCGATTTAATCCTTATGTTGAATCACTTGCTTAAAATAAACACAAACAAAAAGGTATTATGTGTGGGAGCAAAAACTATCAGACGGCAGATATACAGTACGTCCTTAAACCTCTGACCTTACTCAGAGAAAATAAATTACAAATTTAAATTAATTAGAGGCCAAAAAGATTCCTCCTCTTGTCTCCACGTGGAGACAGACATCAACATGCATCCAAGCACATTTTTGAAAGTGCTGGACTTTTAATTTCAAATGCAGCATTTTATATCTGTCAAACTTATAATTAGTGTCATAATTACTGTTTCTCAACAGCAATTAAAGTGGGGTTTTTTTCAGTCACTAATGGAGCAGTTAATGGAGACCAGAACAGAAACTTCTTTTTTGCCTTACATGAAATGCCTTAGGTGACTTGATTTAAACAAGCACTTTGGTTGTTGTGTATTTATTTTGTTGCACAAAAGTTTCAGTTCATAAGAAATGGTTCTTGTAGTTGTTTCAAGGTAATGGAGTTGTCACACCACTGCAATGACAACAGCGTTAAAATATGATGTTGTGAAACCTCGCCGTGGGTGTCATACTTTACATTCAGGTATGTGGTGATTGAAGGAATAGGAATTTGTCTTGTCTTTCTCCTTTCAAAACTAGTTATGTGAATCTATTTTGTCACAGTAGCAGACCTCGAAATTCCTCCTGACAATAATGTGAATCAACACAGTGTAAGTTTAAAACATATCAACCTTCATATAAATGATGGTTTTTAGGCTGTAGCTCTGCCTCGTGGTGCTCTAACAACCTCATCTACAGACTCACATTTAGCACAATATTATCATCATTAAAACATGATTAAAACCCACTAAAGGTCACTTGATAGTGATCGGCATAATGACTTCAAACTGTTGTGTATATAATGTAGACCAGAGGTCAAAAGTTATAGACAGAAGGGTGTAAAAGTAGTGCTGGAACATACTGTGACACGAACCATCATAACACTTTAAGGTTTTGTAGGTCTTTGCTACAAAGTGTTTTTTATCTAACATACACACATTCATAGTCTGATGGATGCATCGGAGAGCAACTCGGGGTTAGTATGTTGCCCAAGGATGTTTGTGTTATTGTGCTAAGATAAGATAAGATAAGATAAGATAAGATAAGATAAGATAACTCTTTATTGTCATTGCACAGTCATACATAGTACAGTAGTACAAGGAAATTGGAAAACTGTCCTACTACACTGGTCTGCACTACTACTACTACTACTGCACTACATATAACACAACACAACATGATATGACACATCACAACGCAACACAAACAACACAACACAGTATATTAACTTAGTAATAAAAAAAGAAGAAGTGTATGTGTATTGCAGACTGTTATTATTGCACATTAATTATTATTGCACCTTGTTATAAATATAAATATTATTATTGTTTTGTTTTAAACATTGTTACCTCCCCCCCCAAAAAAGTCCAGGGAGGTAGCCAATCAGGTCAGCTATTTGCATTGATTAGGGCTATTGCCCT